GAGGCAACTGCAATCTTTTAAAAAAGACAGCCAACGTTTCTTGCTGCATTAGCTGTAGAAAAATAAAGGCCATTTTAAGCTCAGACCCAGCCTGTGGCCTCAGTCTTATACTGACAACAGTGGGTGATGGAAACTAAGCTTTGGTAAACTTGTAGTTATGCAGAGAAAAAGTACTAAAACTTCCTTTAATCCCAAACTGTAGTAGGGGCAGAAAATTTTTGTAGCTGTGATGGTCCAGGTAATAGCTGAGGCAAGGCTTTTTGGGTAACTTGTACTGGCCCAACTATATAGTTTGGACAGCTGTTGGATAAGCTTTCAGGCATCAGGCACAGTTCCCAAAACAAAATTCTTGCTAAGAAGTATCTATTATATTGACTCTGTTCAAGATCCATTTCTACCAATTTTGTGCAGACATAAATACGCTATTTCACAGATATGCTGACCAATTTTGCCCAAAACCCAATTTGAAATACTTCCTAGTAAACTGACTTAAAACTTGGCAAAAAATAACAGCAATTTCCATGGACATAAATGCTGACAGTTCTTGCTCAAAATAAATAAATACATAAATAAAATCCTATGCAAAAAAAAAAAAGTATACCATGTTTTAGGCATATTTAAGTCTCATGTGGTTACAGAGTCAATCCATGCATTCGTAATAACGAAAGTGACTGGTGTTTCCCATTTCAACACCTTCAAGAATCTGTGCAGGCCTATTGTAGTTAAAGATATTCATCCTTTTAAAAATGATACATTTTCACAATATTGAGACCAATGTTCCTGAAGGGGCTGAATGAAAAACCCTGGCACTTGAGCTTCCAATCAGGTAAATTCAGGCAGTTCCAGATTTTTAACTTTCATGTTTTGCCACCCCCCACCTCCACCCCCACCCCCGCAAAATTCTACTTAGAAGTCTTTTAAAAAAATTTTATAGAAAGCTTCAGCCTTTTCTTTTGTTAACAAGAGATGCACACGTTGCCAAAAAAAGGAAGAAGATTCACTATTTCAGATTTCTTTCCAACTTGCTTATTACATACTGACATAAATCAGAGACAAAAACAGGGTTTTTTTTTCCTCTAGAGAACTGAAAAGAAGCATTGTATGTTGAGCTTAAACTTTGGTAGCTGGAAAACAAACAGAAAAAATATTACTCAGCACTAATTTACATCGGTCCAAACTGTGATGTATCCAGGGGAGAACAAAACGGGCATCCCAGAGTCTCTAATCAGGTTGGGGGAAGGGCAGGGACAAGGATGGTCTCTGGGGGAATGCTGAAATCTCCCCAGGGCCATGCAACCTCCCAAGAGTGCAGACAAGAAAAGCTCAAGTCACCAGCACTGCAAACATAACAATAATGCAAAAGAATGAGTGTTTCTGCCCATCAATGTAATAAAGGATGCTAATAAACTGAGTATCTGGGAACACATTTGAAAGGGAGAGGTAGTATCAAGGGTACAGTCAGCAGATTCAAGTTAAATGGAATAGTGCACAAATATTAGAAGCTTAAAGGGGAAATAATTGCTAGCTGTTAAGACCCATGGTTGTGGCCACGTACAGGTGTTGTTTCTACTGAGGGAATTGCTGCTCTACCAATAAAAGGTATGAGCATACAGGCATTCATTCAATTTCTCCCAGGAGAAAAATGTGCCCTCTAGATCTTCCAGGTGTCAACCTAGATCTCTCCTGTGAGAGAAACTCACAAGAATGAATACCTACTCCCCTCCCCACCTAGTCCAGAACAGGAATGGAGCAGCAGAGCCATGGCCTGGGGAGCAGGCAAAAAGAATTGCTCTGATGCACCATTCCTCCTCCCAGACTGGACCAGGAGGGGAGTGGAACAACAGGGCCAACCCTCACCTGCCACCACAACTGGGTTTACCAGTCTGGGAAGTATGTGAGATGTTTGCCAATCCCTCTTCTCTGCTTCATGCAAGGAGAGGGCTTTAAAAGCCAACCCTGCCTCCTAGCTGGGAGGCACAGGTAGCTACTTCAAAGCACAAGAACTGGAGCCAGGGAAGGTTTCCCTATGCTACATCCCAGCCCCATGGGCCTTAAATGCTTCCCACGCTCCCCAATTGGCCTGCAGGGCCAGGAACTGAAGCCAGTTCCTGACCCTATCAACTTTAAATACTACCTGCCCATCTAGACAGCATTTAAAGCCTGTAGAACCAGGAACTGGCCCTGGTTCCCCACCCCATGGGCTTTAAAAGCTGTACAGATAGTCAGTGTGGGTGGTGATTTCAAAACCAACAAGGCTGGGAACCAGGGCCAGGAAAGCTCTTTCCAGCCTGGTACCCAGCTTCATGGGCTTTAAATGCCACATACACCACCCAGGTGGGTGACACACATGACAATTTAAAACTGCAATCAGGAAGGCTGTCCCTGCTCCCTCTTCCCCCCACCTCTGGCTTTAAGTCATCCCAGAGTGCAGCCTGCATAGGCTGCATATGCATGACTTTAAAAGATGGGGGAAGGGGGAAGAAAACCCCCTCCTAAAGTAAAGGAGAGGACAGGCTGTCAAATAATGGGCATTCCTAAGGGTGGAAGTGGCCCTTGAGCATCCCTCTGTAGTTAGGGTGATCATATTTTTAAGGAAATCCAGGGCACTAACCCAAACCAGCTGATTTCTGTCCCAGGCAGGAAGAGCGGTGCCCAGCCTTGCCCGGCCAGAAGGGGCTGGCCCAGGTAGTGCACGGAGATGGCATCAATCCAGTACTTTTGTTTAGTTTTTCACCAACTGGCCAGGATGCTGGGATGGCCTACAAAATCCAGCACTGTCCCGGCCAAACTGGGATGTATGGTCACCCTATCTATAGTGCCACTGTCTAGAGAGAGGTTGCCTGTGTAGTTCTCCAGTCAAAGGGGTGGAAGGCAGGCAGGCTCCTGCTTCCAAACTTTATCTACCAGTAGAAACGAATGCCCGTCTGTGGCCCGAGACCCAGGATACAGCATGCATGTTCAATTCTTTCCCTTTTCCATCTAAGTCAAGGATAATACTTCCCTCTCTCAGCAGGAGTGTTTCAAAGAGAAAATCGTTACATGTTTCCAATACGTTCAGATCTGACTCCCCATCACAAAACCTAGCAACACAGGCAAGCTTCCCCTAAAGCTTTCAAGGTAGGTGATTTCAGATATCTTGTGGGGTTATCTGCCATTAGCTAGTTACTCTCCAAGTTTACCTGTATTGACTAGAGTAAAAGGGATAACAGTAGCAGTACATACTAGGGCTCAGTTTTCAAGATCGTGAACACCTGGATTTATGTTAAGTCAATATATGCATACATTCTCTCCAGTGTAAAAGTCACTTATCTAAGTATAAGAATCCATGTCATCTTTTAAGAACTGAGAATAAACTAACTGCTCAGCAGAAAATAGGCTTCATAGACATAAAAAAGAACAAGAAACATACAAGTCTGGATGGAGATCTTCATTGTTAGCTACCTAACTAAAATGTGTACCAATAACTAACATTGGTAAAGTTCCGGGTGAGTGCTTTTAATGTCTGCAATGTGTTTAATACTTGAAATATAAATAGTACTTCATACCAGATATAGCACCTTTCATCCGATGGTCTCAAAACTTTTAACAAAACTGCCAAATGCTACTTTACAAGACCAGTTTTACAAACGAGCAAACAAAGGCACATTACAGATTAATGACAGACCAAAAACACACAGAGTAATTCAGTGACAATTCGTAGGAAGAGAACCCAGGACCAGTCCCTACTCACTTGCTCCAATTGCTGCCAGTTCTGATTTTTTTTTTAAATGTTTAAATAACAAATCACTTGCTTTGTTAGATGTATGGTTTGCCTGTGAACTGTTGCTTAATTTTCTGGGGACAAACCCAGACTCAATATGTCTTTAATAAAATACTTTGTGGTTTGTTTGTTTTTTTGCTTGTTTGTTTTTACTATGGGTTGAACAAAACAAAGATCTGGAAAGATTTTTCTTATCTTTGTAAAAAGCCCACACATAATTTTCAGTCCTCCCAAATCAGTAGCATTAGAAAGAGTACTTCTTAGCCAGAACTTGAAATAAAATCAACAATGCCTCCACCAGTTCTTTTCAGATTAATTTTTTTGCAATGAATAATAGATTATTTTGCTCCAGGCCTCAAACAGATCTTTAAAGGTATACTTGGACTCAGCCCATTTATTTGATTCCCAAAAATAATAAAACTATTTAATTTAACATATTGTTGCTTTCCAAAGACCTGTCTCACAGCTGGTCAAGAGTGCTTATGTAAGGACCAGGATATCTGATTGATACCATTCTTTACCTGGAACTAAATATGGCTGAAAGGGAATGATGCAATGAAGGTACTGTAGTCAGTGCTCGATTCATTTAAAAGCTAACCCAGGAAGTCTCTTTAATCTGGCTGAGTCCCCGTAGGCTTTTTGTTCAAAACAAGATTTAGTGCTAAAGGGTCAATTGCATCAGATAAAGAAATTAAACAGAAAAAAAGCAGTAACAATTTGCAGTGATGAATTCATGATTTCACTTTAGTATGCATAACAAGTGCATCCTGAAAAAAAAAAAGGAATTTACATTTGCACTGCACTGTGCTAATTTAGTCATAGAAGGATGTCATGCATTTTATTATATAAACATTTTCTACATTAACTTTATTTCCACTGAAATCTAAGGGGGAAATATACTCATTTGATAATGTTTTATATATATTAAGAGAGTTGTGACAAGTGAAGGAATAAGTAGACAAAACATATTTTGCATCTGCTGTAAAACACTGTCATCTTGTCAAGGAAGTAGTTAGTTCATATGTTTGTTATATGAGAAAATAAAGCCAAGTTTATGCTCTTTGCAATAGTTGTTCAAATGTATACAATAGAGGAGAGGAGATATGAAAATTCCATCTTTTGTTAGCACTAAAACACCTGTGATATTATATCCTTATAGTTTTTTTTTTAAACCTGAAAGGATTATTCCAGTCATTGAGTTAAAAAAAGCAATCTACCATACAGCCAGGACAACATCTACCTAAAAGATAAAAATAGTTCACCCAAGATCAGACCACAATATCACTGCACAAATTCAGAGGATCTTGGAGAGAAACAAGCATATCAATTTTCCTTGTTGATTCTAAATCCTCTCTCAAAAACAGAACTGAAATCAAACAAAATACAATTAAGGGAAGAATTCTGTTTCAGCATACAATAAAGCTGATAGACAGTAAGGGTCCTGCTACATGTTCAGATTAAAGCTGGACAGAAACCATCTATGGAGTTGTTGCACATTGTCAAGCACTAACTGTATAGCTGGTTGGCTCATTTTTATAGCTGGATAGTCATTTTTATTGTGTGATAACTACTTTGTACATATGGCTGGCCTAAACTTATTCTGTGATTAACCAGTTAATTGTGTGATAATAACTTTGCATGTATGGCCAATCTAAATTCATTGTGCTATTAACCAGTTAAATATGTAATATATGTAATGTCATGAAGCATATGTAACATAGCAAGAGCCTAAAAGTTATTAACCTAGCATGGCAAAGTATCCAATAGCATATTCAGGGAAACTGCTAACCAACAAGTATGGAATGCCAAACTAAACCAAGAGACTGGGTACATCTGTACAAACGTTATCTCCATCTGCTACGTGCTCACAGCGGGTGCTATTACAGCCTCACGGATAGGTGGAAGGGGAGCAGTAGGGGCCAACCTTTTTGGCAGCATGCCACAAATTAGCCCAATTCCCTTCACTATTGCCACTACAATTGCCTTTCCCATGCCACATCTGTTGCTCTGCTTTCTGCTTCCTTCCCTGTGCTCTTTGCCTATCTGCTGTCCAGCTTTCTGCTCCCTGCCCTACCTTCTGCTGTGCTGTCCCTCCATGCCACTTCTGGCATATGTGCCACAGGCTGGCCACCTCTGGGGTACAGCAAACTGTTGTTCTGGGATAACAGCAGAGACACAACACTTATATTTTATACTTGCTTAAGTTACACCTGGGCACATCTATATGTGCACTTTAGCCTATTCTAATGTGTATTAAAGTGTTACAAAAAATTGTACTTTCACTAATACATATTAAAATAGGCTAATGAGTATTTTTCTAGAACCTCAAAATGGAGGTACTAAATTTAACGTGAAGTACCAAAAGCACATTAATGAACGTGTAGACACACCCCCTGTATAATATTATCATCTTTCCAGAGGTAATCCTACTTTAAAGTAAGTTGTCCCAAGGTAAGGGTTTATGTCATTCCTTTGCACCTTCCTTACATCTGTGAAAAGGCTGATTATAGGTCTTATAGCTAAGCCTGAAACTTCAAATTTCTCCTCACCTTTGGAATAAATGCAGTAAGTTCTTAGTCTCAAATTAATTTCTGTTATAGTGCCCTATTTAAAATTCAAGGATGACTACTGAACAAGGACAGCTGCTGGCAAAGTGCAGAGTAAATACTTTCACAGTATGCAACTAAGTTGGGCTGTAGTAAGCAACTTGTGACTCAGGGGCTGAAAATAGTATTCAGAAGCAGAGTCATAATTAAAATGTCACAAGATGATATCAATGTGGACTTTAAGTTACCAGTAATGTTTTCCATCATTTTATATCATTACACAAAATTTGGGCAGATAAATAATGCCATTAGTAATTTTGCTGCATTTCACTGCAAAGATGACAGAAAAATGCCTCAGAATGCAGCTCACCCTAATATTGCAGGATCATCCCTCAAGGAAAATATCTCTTTCTGAGTGGGTCATGCTGCAGGTTAGGAGAAGAAGGAAGTTTATCTTATGAACTCTACAGGCACGCCTGCCAGTGACCATGAGAGAGGTTACAGGATTAAGAGTCTTATTGTTGAAAAAAAGTTGTTCCCAAAGGATCAACATGAAGTATCCAAGAGCAGATGGGATCTATAATTGTGAGACATCTCTTGTCTTGCATACATCTTAAACGCTCAAGAGGTGGGGGTAGAGGAATAAAAAAAGCCCAGGACTACCAGCTTGAATGAAAAAGCTCATGAAAATACCAATAAATCACACACATTCTTAAACTAACTCATTCCAGTTATTTCTCAATAAAGAAATACAAGGTACAGATTTCAACAACTCTTCTGAACAGAGACTGAGAAAGCATCTGAAGAAAAAGAAGATTTCAAAAGAAAAACTTACCTCACAAGAGAAATATTCAGATTAGGCAGAAATAAAACAATAGGAAACTTTTCAAAGAGAGGCACAAAAGACTGGAAGTATACATAAGGCAGTATGGCATAATGCAGAAGACTAGTGAGGATGAACAAGTCTGAAGGAGGGGGATGTCCTGACAGCAAAGTCCCAGATGGCTGGGTGAAAAATCAAAGGATGGAGCTGGCTTCATGATGCAGCTGGAAGAATTTTTATTAGAAGCTGCAAAGCACTAGTTTCAAACCAACTTGATTCAAGAATGACAGCGACTCTCAAAGACAAGACACGGTGTAGTTGTAGGTGAAGAACTAAAGCCATTTAAGGAAATGAACAGGAAAGCTCCCATTAAATGATTAAATCCACAGGTCAACTAAAAATCAGCTAAAGATTCAGATAAAAACACTATGAAAGAAGGAACCAATTGCTTGGCAAGGAAGTGAAATCAAGCCAATAGCAAGCAAACAAGCTCCAACAAAAAGAAACAAACTAGTTAACATACTGTGCATTGTCAAGGGTAAACTTTAACAAGGCACACTAAGCAGATCAGGGTGGCCAGGGAAGCATGCATTAAAAGGTGATGAGAATCACAAACGAGTAGCAAAGGAATCAGAATTGGCACAAACAGTGACAAGCTCATCCTGCAGATGAGACGGCTGGTGGACTAGAGTGGTATGATGATTGAACACACATATACAGATGGAATTTCAAAGGAGTTTTGAGCCAATTCACTTTGTATGATTAGACTAAATTAGTAGTCATCACAAAGAGTGAAGAAAGACTGGTGGGAGAGAGGTGGTCATTCATATTTTAATTATACCTTGGGGAAACAAAGAAAATAATTAAATCCTTTCTTCATAATTTTTCCATGGATATTGCATACTATTCAGAAAAACATGGTGTAACCGTTTGACAATGTGAAAACATTAAACAAACGTGCCTAATTATTCCTGAAGATTTACATATTCCTTTAAATATTAGTGCAACTTTCTTGCTTTATTTATCAATTTTAACACCTAAAAAATAATAAAAAATCCTTCACCATATTTGCTAAAAAAGGATTGGTTAGTTCTCCAGCCAAATACAATGCTGTACTCAACCACCATGTCAGGGAGCAGCCAATCAAGAGAGATACTACTGCAAATCAAAATGGAAAATGAATAACTAAGACCTAGTTTCCTATTACTCAAAATTATCCCAGATATGAGTCATTTGCCACAAATAAGACATGCCAGTTAAAAAGCAACATTTAACCAATAAAATAGGTCCTCAAAACTTCTTATGGGAATGTAAAGGGAATGCACAAAAGTCTGATGCTTTGTTAGCAGGGTGAGTGTTCAGGGTCATTCGTTCTGTTCCAATATCAAAGGAACTCTGCCTAAACTGACCCAGATTCAGTGGGTATGTTATCCTTTCCCATATACTAAACTACTGAAAATTAAAAGTGATATTTACTTATTTAAGCAAATACAACATGAGCTTGAGAAACAGAAGAATAAAAGTCAAAGCCTATGTTCATACACAGATAAACTTGCCTCCAACTTATTTCTAGTGTTTTCATCGGAAAACTGAACTATTTTGTGTGCTACCCTGCATACGAGGGTCAGCATTTGATTGTTCAAACCTGGTGACCAAGCAGCCAGCATATGGCTGCTCAAAGGAGGAGGGATTATTAAGAGAGCCATGCCATGATGCCAGCAGTGTTATGCAAGTATTTAATTTCACTGATCAACTAGCTGTTGCTTCATTTCCTCCCTCCATCTCAAAATGACTGAAAAAACCCCACCCAATGTGCTCCTTACCTTCATAACCATTCTTGCTTAAGCAAAAACCAAAAAGGCAGCCCAAACCATAATACAAGGCAGCAGAGGAGTTAAGTGAGCACAGTGCAATCAAAATACATTGGGAAAAGCATCTTTTATGGCATTGGAAAATGGCAAGAAATCTCAGGAGTGTAAAAGATTTACGTATTGTGAGAAAGAAAGGAGGGGGCATCTTTCTCCTTACCCTCCTGAAGAATGGAGTCAGGTACCCATCAGCTCACTTGCTAGTAACTCATTAACCCACCATCCTGGGACAGATTACTGATGTCGTGCGCGCGCACGCGCACACACACACACACACACACACACACACACACACACACGCTCACCCTTCAGAACCACATATGGATGCGCACACACACACAAACACATAGACCCACACCTCTCCCACACATGCACCCCCCACACTCTCCCACAACCCCCCACATACACACACACCTACAAGTCCCCACACATACCCCCCAAATTCC